TCTGTGGTTCCACAAACCAGGGTCAACCGAATAAAACTTGTGTTCTGCTATAGTTAGGAAAATGCTGGAAACACACAGTCATTCTTAGTAACCTTACATTTAATCGAGGGCCTTCTTTTGATTTATTTTGAAAATAACAAGTCGATAAGTGAAGGAATAAGTGACATTTGAAAGATTAGCAGAATATGATTGTCAGAATTCTGTTTAATTACACATTTACAGTCCATCACATGATAATCAAAATGTAAGGAAATCATATAATATCACAGCATTAACAATATTATATAACTCATGGGTCAAAATAATCAATTTAGATGTTTGAAGTCTCAGTTACATAGCATTGTTGTATAAAGTAGTATTCTTGGACTACTTTACCTTTTTTAAATGATGTAGGAAATTTTAATATTGCCTAACTATAAATTACCCTTTATGTAGCAATATCATTTCTAAATTCATTAGAATTATGAGTGAAACATTAGTAACAACAGAGTAAGTTTATTAAGGACCGAGATACAGAAACTCCAAATTCAGAAGAAGATAATTCTTGTATTTTCATGTATTTTTGCTAAGGGGAAAGAAAAATCACACAGATTTAAAAATTATTTAATTTCCTAATTTTATTGCCTCATTATAATTTCTGTTCCACCAGAAATTTACATTTAGTTTCCAGGGACAGCTATTCCTTTGCATTCCATTCCAAAAGGTGGCTCAACTAGTATTTAATTACAGATGTCCCCAAATTATTACCTATCTGGAATAGATCGTGATTAAAAATAAGTATGTCATATCATATAGTTTCCAATGGAAGCAAATTTGTAATGGGTATTTAATTTTTTAACAAGGGTCTAGTGTTCAAAGTCATTTTTATCAAAATGAACAGAAACAGTATATTGAATCAACAGCAAATAACATTCCTTTATAATGTACAATATACAACATCACAAAGTATATATAAATTAATTTAAAAGAATTTACAGAAAGCAAATATATGACACATAATATATTTTGAAGATTCACAGGGATAAGGAATTTGAAAGATGGGATAATTCTGTGTGCACCTAAGGAAAAGATAATAGTAGGACATATAGAGAGGGTCGAAAGTCAAAAACTGTGTGTGTGTGTGTGTGTATGTGTGTGTTTGAGAAAGGACTTCTGTGGAGAGGGTACAAGGGGGCCTCTGCAGATCCTGGGAGGTCATCTGTCATCTGCAGTAAAGATGACACTGGCTTTCCTGCTCATGTAATTGTCAGGAGTAGACAGATTTGTTGCTGTGACTTATATCCTGCCTGCCATAACCATAATAACAGAAGACACAGTGTCTTATGACTGGAAAGAATCTCTCTTCTCTATTTTTGGTCTTCACAAAAATTTAGAACTGCCCCCCCAACACCCAAAGATATATAAATATAATTTTGATAAGAATATGTATTGTTCCTTAAATTATGCAGTAGATATGTAAATATGAAATTGATTAACTTATTTCATTTTGACATGTATCATGTTAATTTCAGATTCATATTTAATACCAAGATGCGCTATTATTTTACCCTTCATTCTCCCTGCCTTTCAGCCCTTCTGTCAAATAGTAATATTGAAAGACTATAAAAACCCTCTTCCAGTGTTTTCTTTGAGAGAAAGTCTGTGGTGACTTTGGAAAAAAGTTAAATCATCATCTCAATCTCCTTTTCCTGAAAGTGGGTTTTTAAATTTTGGATTCCTGAAAATAAGCACATCTCATGAGGCTGTGGGTCACTGGAGTGAACTAAGGTAGCAATTAGCTTCCCACATGCACGTGGCCACAGGCTCAGAGTGGACACACCTTGCTCCATTCTGTGTCTATATGATTCTGTGTCTATAAACAGGGTTGATTTTATATCCTCCTTTAGTCGAAAATCATCCTCAAAGCGGGGAGCAGGTGGAGGAAGTTAATTGTATCAACTACTGAAACTAGCCCCAAAAATCTGTTAGACAATTTAAATCCATTCATTCTTCTTAAAACCAGAGTATGGAATATGGACTATGGCAGCAGGCATAGAAAATGAAGTAAAATAAGAACTTATTAAACAGAATTTTTAGAAGGAAGTTGACATATTTCTATTACAAATGTTTATTTTCCCTCCTTTAAATATTCATAAGATATTAAAAATCTTAAACTAGGGAAAAGTGTATGAAAATCACAAGTAAAATGTGTTTTCATATTATCTAGTAATCATTTCTTATCTAAGCTTGAATTCATTTAAATAATTGCCTACTTACTGAAGTGTATGAGTAAAAACTTGACTTGTGGTATTTTAGTAAAAGAAGGCATCTCCCAAGTTTCAGTTGAAAAAGGAAACTTCTTAAAGTTCACACGAAAAAAAGTAGCCCTGATGTCATTACCTACCAACATTGTGACAAATGGCATAATTAAACAAAAGTGTTAAAGAGTGATAAAGAGCCGCCTAAATGATAACCACAACTACAATATGATGAATAAGTGGGAGTACAAAGCATATGCACCTATTTAATTTTTTAAAAATGTTTAGTTTGTCACCTAAGTGTGGGTTTCCAACAAACAACTGGATGACAACATTACAACCTGCACCCGTCATTCATGACCTACAAGTCTAGCGAACTGCCCTGTAAAGCCTTTCTGTTGATATAGTTGGTGATGAGTCCAGGAAGAGTTAGGAACATCTGAAAAATGTGGGGAAGGGGCTGTTGATTTAGAGGCCCTATGGCATCTCTCAGCTCCCACAGTGTTTAACTGGGAGACAAGACGGAGCCAAGGAAACATTCTTGGCGCTGGATCCTGGGACTCGGAGAAACTATTCGTGTTCCTTTGCCTTTGAGTAAATTACAACATCCCTGGGCTTTGGGTTTCTGCTCAGTAGGACATAAAGCGCGACCTTTTATTCTGCATGATTGCTTCTAGAGCTAGCTAGCATTCTGCCTATCTAGAAAAACATGCGCAACGTCTCACGGTATTTCCATGGGAGTCTGTAACCGATCCAATGCCCCATCTGTCGTAATAACTGGAGGAATGATCAACAAAGATCGATGTGTTTTTGAGCAAGAAAGTAAGATGGGTGGTGGTTTCGGGTAGAAAAGGGTGAATTAATGTTTCAAAGACATTTGCAGAGAATGTGCACAGGAAGCGGCTGATCTCTTCCAACACATTTAGTCCCCAACTGGTGTCACTGTTAATATATCTTCATGCTGACCCTCAAATGAGGTTGACCGTTCCAGAATGATCCTCATGTTACTGAAGAGACATTTTGCCATCGGAGTTTATTACACATTCATATGAGTTTGATCATTTTCACTAACCTCGAGGAAGCCGACTTCTGTGTGCTGTCTTGTGGTCCCTTCAAGACATAATGGAGCTCATGTCTTCTTCCGATGGCCTGCTTTGTACTAACTAGGGGAGACTAGTAAAGAAGGCCGAGTCTGTGCCATGAAACTGAGATTAGAATGTTAAGGAAGTAGAGTCCTCGTGTTCCTCTGGACCTTTCATTTCAGCCTTCATAATTTTATCTAAATTGTTGCCCTCCTGAGTAGTTTCTGTCCTCTGTACCACCTCCATGGTGAGCTGCACTTCCTTAAGTTTCATAGGCTAAAAATCATTTGTGTGGCATATCATCTATTATTATAATTATTAAATGTATATCTAGTTGCAAATTTTTATCTGTCTGAGAAGGCTGGGTCAGGGGATTATAAAATATTATTAATGTATCTGAAATTCTAGATATTGATAGCCATGATAGGTTAATATGGTTGGAGAAAAATGTATGATTTTCACTTTGAGTAGTTTTTCATGTAATATTTGTTGTAAAACACAGCGTTAAAGGCCGGAAGCTCAGCTCCACTGAATGTATATTGCCCATTTATTGTGCTGTGTTATAATAATCTAAAATGGTCTACAATTTTTTATAAGAATATAATTTGCTTAGTTTGTTTTCACTGTAGCATTAATGGCCAATTTTAGTAAGTGGCTCAAATAATCTGGGGGGAAGGGTATTCATGCTTTTTTACAATGTTTTTTCAGATACTGGCCAAAGAATCAGGGGCAGACATCAATTTTTATGATACATTTTTAATGTCTACTATAAAGATACCACATGCAATAAATTGGATCTGTAGAAACTATTAACAGTATAAAGTTATCAGTCTGCTGTTTCTATATTGGACAGAATGTATTAGTGGTTGGTCATTTATAGGTGAAAAATGATTTTCAGACAGAATTGTACAAGATACTAAGCCTAGCACTGTAGTTACTACTTGGTAAAAAAGGTAAGATTTACTTTTAATAAATGTGTTTCACTTTACTTCATATGCTCTATCAAACAACATCTTTCCTAATGCATAAGTAAATATATATCTCTTATTTCATTAATTTCAAATTGTGGCAGTGGCCAGAACCTAGTGATTCCTAAACATTTGCAATCTGAATAAATAAGGTTAGTTTTGAGTGCCTAGTTTCATTCAAAGAATCAGTGAAAGATGCGTTTTCTTTCTCTTCCACCAGGAGAGTAAACCTTTGGGTCAGATTTATACTTGCCTATATTTTCAATATAATGTCATGTTGATCATGTGTATGGTCAGAAGAAAAATTGGCGACATAAAAAATAAATCCCCTTGTAATTTTTCCATGAAATGGGTACACCTGGAAGCAGGCATTCTCTGCTCTCAGAGAGCTTTCCCAGCCTGTGTTGGGTTCCTCCATCTGTTCTCTCCTCCAACCTGGCAGAAAACTGTGACCATCTTCACTCACCTGTCTGAAGCTGGAGGGAACCCCACGGGAGTCACCTTCAGAAGGAGCCACAAGATGTCTTTGGTTCATAGCCATTTCTCCTTCAGAATGAAAAAGTTACATGTACATTAAAGATACAATACAATTTCTGAAGGGAGGAAAAGGACTTGCAAAATGTAGAGGCCTCTTTAACCAAAAACTGATGAGCTCAGGTGAGTTGAATATGTGTCTCAGACCATTGGAATTGCTCCCATGGAGGTGGTTTTATGAAGTTCCAGGAGGCTGGCACAGTAACTTTTCATCTTTGGTTTTGTAGATTTATCTGCTCGTCATTTTTATCACATTGTGCACTGCCTTATGTCAAGTATATTAGGCTAATATAAATTCTCCTATCTGTTCATTTAGCACTTTTGACATAGCTACAGTTATAAGTACAGTTGGAGGAATATGCTGGAATCAATCTCCAAAAATGTACCATGAGGTATTTTACAGCATTATTCTCATTGTAATGAGGATGGGTTAAAGACTTGGGAAGAAATTTCTCTCTTGCACACTTTTTTTATGACATTTTCAGAATGAACTGGCCCGGGGTTATGCCTGATCTTTGGAACCCCCTCAGTTATGCTCCCTGGTAATGATCACAAGCAAAGGGTGTTCTTGAAGCAACTTCATCCAGGTATTATGTCTCCCACCAAACAGACACAAGAGCAGACTCATCTAATTAGCAGAATCCCTCCTGGACTTGCTCTCTATGCTTCCGGCACATTATAAAGTGGAGACATGAACCAGGACCCCCAGAAGTCCCTCGCAGAAACTTGTGGTTTCCAAGCAACAGCTCTACTGAGTGAATGGTGAGCAGCTGGCTCTGAACGTAGCACCACCAGGAGCTGTGCTAAATGGTCTCAGCTGGGAGTTGCTCTGGTGTGTTTTACTAATGGCATTTCAAAAGCAAAATGCCATGTGCTGAAGTAATTCAGAGGTTTTTAACCCTGAAAGCTAGGATTTTAGGGAGGGCTGGATCATCACCAGGAACCAGTCACTGCTTTTCTGCTGTGTCAGCAAAATTCACAGTGCAGAGGGTTTGAGTAATTTTCTTTTTATTCCTGAAAGCTTAGGATAATTATTTCTCACAGCCACATTAACTCTTATGATTAGCATCTTGATGAAGTTTTAATACATATCTGAGAGATTCAGAGGGTCTAGGTAGTTGTTATAGTGCAGATTTAGCAAGGAGGGACTCGGAACTTTGTTTATTCAGTAATAATTCTCTGAAATGAATGGTCAATCTGCATTCAAGCTATGGATAGTGATGAAAAAATCTTACCACAGATCAACAAAACAGATGCCCTTTCAACAGACTGTAACTTCGATAATTAAAAAAAATTTCTATTAAGAAAAAAAAACAAAATAGGTTTTCATCTAACAGACCCAGTCTCATTATTCTTTAAATTCACCTGGCAGTATTTGCAAGCTGACTGTTTTGGGCGTGTTATATTAGATAATTCAGGCAGAATAATTTGTAATTTTACTCATGTGAACTCCAAAATCAAGGACCAAAAATCTTTTGTTGATCCAAATTTGCTAAAGTCGCTCAGCTCATGTGAAAATCACCACTTCCCTTTAAACCTTGGAAGTTTGTCACTGATGCCAGTGATGGAAAAAAGAAATTGTGTTTCATCCATTTTCTCTTATAATCCCAGCCAACCCATGTTCATTAAAAGGAAAGTAAAGCCCAGCAAATTCTGGTTCCATAGTAAATTACAATCCCCTGATGGCTCTCAGAGAATGGCAGCTATAAAATTTTAAATAATTGGTATCTACAATCCTATGCCCGTTATTCTTCTGCCTGCAAAATGGCTGAGTTCTTTTAAAGTGTATTTTTATCTCTTTCTTAAGCTCATTTAGAATCCTTCTTTCTCTAGAGGTTAAATGGAAGCCAATAAGTCATCACACTCCATCTTCTCCCGTAGCTCAGAGGGTTGGTCAAAGAGAGAAACGTTGTCAACAAGGGACGGACAGCATGTGGTGAGGAGACGTGTAGGACAGCGAGTCGGGTTCTTTTGTTTCCAAGGCATTCCTCCTTCTCACATTTTCACTGACATTTGTCATAGAGGCAGACTTGACTACATAAATACTTTTGCTAATATGAAGCCTTGTTTTTTGTACAGCACTTTAAAAAATAGCTATTCAACATAATAATCCTAACTTGAATGCACCAAATTACAGTTTTCAACAATTTAAGTGAGCATATCCTGTCACCCTCAGCATATGTTTGATATATACTTGTTAGGTAGAGATGGATGTAGCAATATCCATATCTATATTTATCTTCAGACACACATACACACACACACACACACAGTAGAGCTACTAGGCCCTGCTTAATGGTGTCTTGTAAATTTCATGTTCCCTTACCTGACATTGGGCTTATTTATATGGAGAGTTACGATGCCATTTGGAGAGCTTACTGGATTCGTCCCTGTCAGAACCTTCCAAGCCACACAGTTTGTGGCAGGTCACCATTATGTCTAAGGACAGACCTGCCATCCAGGACACAGGGGTAATGCCCACCACCCAGTGCAGCAGCTTCCTGGGGTGCCCAGGCTCCTGCTACTACTGCCAGACCCAAAGAAATTTTACTTAAATGACTGTTCATACGATTTGGACTCTATTTTTGTAAAACACAGATTCCCCCCAAGAAAATCAATAAATAAAGGACTTAGCCACGGAATCCAGGAAGCCGAACTCCGGTTTTTAACCTTCCACTGGGACTGGGGCCAGACCCGACCCATTTCAATGTTTGCTGCAATCGGTCCTCCGCGGGGCAGAGGGCGCAAGGGGCCCACGAGCAGGTGCGGGCGCACTGTCTCTGGTCTCTCGGTGTCATTGGATGAGGCTGGAGCTGTAGCTGAACCCGTAGCTGCTCGAGCGCGACAGGGACAAGGGCTGCGCCGGCTCCTCGCTCTGCTCCGCCGCGTAGCTGGGGAAGGTCTGCGCGCGCGACATCTTGGCCGCAGCGAAGCCGTGACCTGGACAAGGAGCAAAGGACAGCGAGCTGAGGAACAGACGCGGGGAGGCCAAGGGATACCGGGAAAGCCAAGCGAAGCCCTCGGGCCCCCGGCGACCGGCGCTGGGCGCATGGACGTTCTTACGCGAAGAGCAGAGACACCCTGTGCCTTGCTCCTCCGCGAGTTACGCACGCGTTCGGGGCGCAGGGTGCCCCCCGAGTGTGTCTGGGCAGAGATTCTGGACGCCCGGGAGCCGGGTGAGTTTCCTCGGGATCACAGACTCCTGCCATCCGCCACCTTTGGGAGCGGGCAGAAAAGCTTTTCACCCCAAAAACTGTCCTTGGTGGAGAGCCTGTGAGCGGCTGTCGCTTGTTTTATCCCGTCAGTATACAACAGCCAGCGACCCCGTTTGGGCAGGCGGGCTGCACGCACCCCGCCAGGGACCCCCAGTCTGCAGGGCAAGGCCTGCGGGGGACGGAGGGCCGGGCCCGGCCTGCAGCGGCCTTGGGGGTCTGGCCCTCCTCCTCGGCCGCTGAACCCCACGGGGAACCTCGTGTTCTCCGCGGCCAAGCGCCGGGTCTTACAGAACATCGGTGAGGAAACAATGCTTTCGGTAGCCCACATGCAGCCCCGTGACCTGCAGGCCAGAGCGGACGGGTGACCGCCACCCGCGGCCCTGCGCCGACCACGAGGGAGAAACCCCGCGCTCCGAGGGTCAGGTGAGCTTCCCAGGGCCTCCCGTCCTTCTTAACCAGCACACCGTCACTCCTCACACTTGAGAAGGATAATTATCTAATGGATGAGCTGAGCGGGGAGGGAAGAAAAATAGAGCCGGCGGTGCTCTGCCCTTTCGGGGCGCGTGCTTCTTCACCCCAAGGAAGGGGAGTATGTAGTTTGGTGATTCTTCTCGTCTCTAAGGCAAGGAATCCAGGAAGGCAGTCGGTTGACACAGAAGCACGGGACCCGCCGCCTCGGTCCCCAGCTGCCCCTCTCCTGGGCAAGGTCACACACTTAGCCAGTCTCCTGGGCAGGTGTGTTTGGTGATTCAGAAAATATCCTTGCAGTGTCTGAAGCTTGGAATCCAGGCAGGAATCACAAGTGAATTGGGTAGTAGACTAATTAAACCGATAGAACTTCTTGATGTTAAAAACCGTGAGAGCAAAATCTTGCTTTAAAGATAAAAATCGCTTTAAGAGACACCGTTGGCCTCATTCTCTGTGGATGAAGGCTCCACATGGACAGCTCAGGGGAGAAGAGGGCCGAGGGCCTTCCCGCCCCACCCTGCCCACCAGTCTGTGGGTTCACCAGCCCCGCCTCCTGAGCTTCCAGACCTTTCTGCTGCCTTGCCTCTTTCCCAGGGTCCCCTGGCCACCTTCCCCCTCCTGCCCCTTCAAGCCTAAGGGCCCTCAAGCCACCAGCGGTAGCCCGCCCTTCACAATTCCTTACTGGTTCCGTACCTCTCCAGCCCTCCCAGTGAGCAGTCCACCTCCATAAATTCTCAAAGTCTCAGCTGAGTGTGTCTTGACTTTCCTGGAGGACCCTGATGCTCAAATGAGGAAAAGTGAAGCTGGGAACAAACGGGCAGAAGAATGGGGAAGGTGGGGGTGCGGTCAGAGCTAGGACATCACAGCTACGTGCTGCTCTGCCTCTCACTAGGGGTGACCAGCTCATGAGACTTACTGTGTTTCTGGGCTTCTCAGATTCCTTATCTGCAATTCTGGATGACATGGATGGTGTTATATGGTTCATGTGAGCATGAAATCAGTGAGTATTATTGAATTCAAACATGTCAAGTGCTGTCACCATAATCGGGTAGAGGACGTCACCATCCATTCCAGCAGGGCATCCATATGAGGTGGTCAGTAAAGAACCGTTATATGGCAAGGTTCTGATATGGAGAAAAATCAACTAAAAATGTGAGCAATTTTTCCTCTTGGTCTTACCATTGACTAGATGATCACTCACAGCCCCTTCGGGAGTGGAGATACTGGCATTTATGAGCACAAACCAGTGGGAAATTCTAATTAAGACCATGTTCCTTTGTTTGGTTTTACCTTGTTATTTAAAACATTTTTTATAAATACCTAAGAGAGACCAAGGCTGGAGCACGCCTTTAATTCATATTACTTCTGGCCTAAAAGCTAAGACTTGTTATGAATTCAAAAGAGTCTTTGCCTGGGCACACACAGTTTTACCCTAGAATCTTGGGTGTAAAAATCCAATCATGCAACTAATATTTGCCAAACATCTTGCTAAAACCGTTCAAGGCTGCACAGGGGAGACAACGTAATGGGAAGCACGCCCCCTGACTTCCCAGGGTTCAAAAGCTGCTTTGGCAATGATGGTCAGGCAAGGATAGACAATGGTGGACAGCGAATGGAGAGTCCACACAGCCAGCTCCCTCCAAGGTGAGAGCAGGATGCCGGTGGAGGTGGGGAGAGCTGTGCTACAGACTGGACACATCAGTTCAGCCGGCAGAGCTGACCTCTGCTGCAGGGTGTGCAGTCACCACCCCTGCGGAGTTCTGAAACGGACCAGAGTTCCAGATGCAGCTCGACCGGCCCCTCTCTGCCTCATCCTCCTGCAGAGAGAGAACATTCTTTCCCGATGTGTTTTGAGGAATAAGTGAAACAACATATAGGAAGACACCTGGGATGGTGGAAACCTAATAGATGTTAGCTTTCTCTCCTCCCCCTCAGCTGGACAAGCCCATATTCTTGTCAGTCCTGGGCCATGTCTGTACTTTCTCCTCCCCCTCGCTGCTGTCCTCACTGGCTTTGAATCATACTCTTTCAAGGCACCTTGCATTCTCCATCTTCTCTAGGACCAGTTTCCAGCCTCTAAATGGAAGTTATGTTTTTTCTTTCCTCAACCACTTATTTACAGCCAACTCACAAATGATGCTGTTTAATACTTATCACTAGAGTAATACACCTCAGTCGGAACTGTACAAATGAAGACCTCATGAATGCTGGTTTGATTTGGGCAACAGTTGAGTATGAGAACAACAGAGAAATAATTATGCATTTTCTCAGCATTCATTTGAATTATGCCCTCAGGCACTGTTGATGAAAAGAGAACAGAAATCCACTTTGTGGTCTGAATTAAAAACTTGCTGGAATAGACCTGTTCACCCCATGAAACAGAGACTCTATGAAACGGTTCCTAAACTTCTCCTCCAGATAAACCCCTGAAGACAAATGAAACTGTTCCCTGAATGTGTGGGGACATTATCAATTAAAAGCAACAAGTTTGTTAGTGGCTGTTAGTCTATCTTAAAAGACCTTTGGAATTTTGGTTTCGAGTCCACGGTCTGTGCATTTTTGTTTTCATAGTAAATAATATTTTCTACCCATATCTCAGGTAACATTGATAATCTGGAAAAAAATAATCCAGTTTCCCTGGTGGCGTAAAGCAGACTCTGAAACAACACTTCACACCACACGCCTGCCCTCCTCTCCCCATGGTCTGTATACACACCCCAGGCTGAGAAACATAGTTGACTTCCGAAAAGGAGGAAACACTGGCTGAAGAGACATTTAAAACATTTACTTTATTCTTACAAAATTGTATGACTCCTCCCAATTCCAGAAAACTACAAATAGCATACATGGCCAGGTGAAGTTGCTCTGGCCATCAAGGGAAACCTTTCCTGCTGCATCATGAAAGACTCAAGCCGGTCATCAACTAGAAGCCCAAACGCCATAGAGAATGACAGCTAACTGGGCACGCAGGACCAGGGAGTCACATCACACCAGAAGAAACACGGCGAATGGCCGCACCTATGAGCATCCTCTGCTTCCTGGGGAATTAAGAGGAACCTCGTTCCTGGCCCCATCACCACTGTTATTCCCGTTCTGCTGGCTTCTCACTTTCTAGACTTAGTAACACCGATTGTATTGTTCACATATAATATAAAGGAAATCGTTTTTGTAGGAAGTCAGCAGGATCTCAAACCATAAAACTTGTGGTTATTAATTGCTAAGAAGCAATGGCTCCAGTAAAGCTACTTGATCTGAATTTATGTGTTTTATTTGTTTGCTAGAATCTCAGAGAGGAAGAGGTGTTGTCTCTTTAAATAATAGAACAAAACAAAACAAAGCAGATAAAAACCCTAAATGAAGCAGTTTGCATCATGAGACATCAACAACGAGAGAGCCCAGAGAGACACTGTGTCTTCCTTTGACAAGGGGTTTCCAGCCACTGGGAGGAAACGGAGAGGTGTGTCAGGCCTGGGCACTGGAGGGCAGAGTGGGGACATGACGTGTGGGACGCCACCAAGGTGTCTAAGGACTGTCACTGCAGAGAATGGGGCCAGAAGGTTTTTATGGGGTGTTTAATACTTGCATGTTTACCGGGCAGCTAGGAAGAAGCTGAAACCAGACTAGAGGTTGGAGTGACATGGGGCTGTCTACCATATCTTAATAATAACCTACCACATGTTAGTTATGCTTAAAATGCCCAGGACTCACTGTTCACGTCGCTTCTGTATATATTCAAATAAGATACATTTGAATTTTAGTCAATTAATTTGAGTTATAGTTCAAACCAAACTACGTTTAGTCATCTTGGTTTGATCTTTGTGCTCTGCTAGGAAGTGAATCTGACATTCCTGGGGAGAGTCTGGGACCCCAGTAGCTCCACGACCTTGACTAGATTTGCTGGGCGTGTGGAGGCTCAGCTTCAGCACATATGAGCCAGTGGGGAATAAACATGGGTTTCAACACACAAAGTGATTTGCAGAAGCCAGGATATACTGACCACTGCTCAGTGAGCACCAATTCCACACAGACCCTCAGCTAAATACTCTAGAAGTACTACTTTTACAAGTCCTCATCACAATTCCATAAGGTGAGATTGCATATCCCCATTTTACGTATGGAAAAAGCGAAACTGAAATGTGCAGGTGTTCTGCGGTTTGCCAGGCTGTTTAATGGTGGGGCAGCAGCAGGTCTAGGTCAGCTGGAAACCGAGGCCAACACTTTGTCCTGAACACGTTGCTGTATTTCCTCCTGGAACTCGTCAACATCCACCTTGCTTCAGGATGCAGCAGAGCTTCAGAGGGGAAGGAGGACCAATTTTCATGACCCAGGTCCCAAAGAATTGACTGAAGAACTGACAGAATGGGGAAGCATGGTGTCAAAAACCATTAAAGCAAGTAGAATTTTGTCTTGACTTAGGCTGGCTCATCGAAGTACCACAGACTGGGTGGCTTAAACAACAGAAATGAATTTCCTCATAGTTCTGGAGCCCGGAAGTCCAACATCAAGGTGCTGACGGGTTAGTTTCTGGGGAGGTTTCTCTCCTCGGCTTGCAGATGGCTGCCTTCTCGCCGGTCCTCACACGCCTCCTCCCCGTGTGCTCTCGGCCGTCTCTTCCTCTTATGGGGACACTATTCCTATTGGATCCGGGTCCCACCCATATGACCTCATTTAACTTTAAGTACTTCTTTAAATGCCCTGTATCTCCAAATGCAATCACTTTGGGGTTAGGGCTCCAACCTACAATTTTGGGGGGCGGGGACACAGTTCAGTTCATAGCAGGCTATAATAAATAAAAAAGATTAGGAGGTTTAAGACAATGCTGGTGACACTTTTCCTTTTGCTAGAGATTATTTTGTTGTCCTTTGGTCTGAGAGGTATTTGTACTTGCCAGTGAAATTATGTAATTTGGTTTAAGATTACGTAAAATAATAGGACATGCAATTTTTTATCCTTCA